CTATATATATATATATATATATATATGCATTTTTGTAATACCGAAAAATTAACAAATAGACTATACTGATAGAACAAAATCTATTGTAATTTATCAGACTTCCTAACTATGCTGTATTTAGGTTTAAAAAAAATCTAATTTCTGTATGGAAAATAGCACTGATCATAATTTTTCAAACTTTCCAACATATAAGAGCTTTTCTCTCATAAATAAATTAGAAAGACTTTAAGAATTACATAGAGGAAATTTAGAGTTTTTGATTGGTTATAAACTTATAGGTACATAAAAAAGCAGGCATAGATAAATAAGTCTTCTCAAATGATAAAGTGGTGGGCAAAGCCAATATTGTGGATTTCATAAATATTATGATATCTCAGTAAACAGAAATAGTAGGAGGTTCTTATTTCATATTTTAGCTTGAAAATATCAGAAATTTGAGTATATAATTCGCATAAAACTATAGACGTTGTGTTGCTGGCATCACAAAATGTAATCTGATCAAACCCAGAAGATTTTTTTTTATTTACTTTCAAACTAAGAAATTAACTAATGTATAATACTAAAATCTGAATTAAAATTACAATTTGATTCCAAGTTTATTGACATACATTCATAAAATAGTAGTTCAATAAAATTTTGAATGTAAGTCTAGAAATGTGATGACACGCCCTCTGACCCCTAGCTATCTGTGTCAATAGGGTTAAGAGGAAGTGTGCTAATACAAAATCTCAGATGGACAAGATAAAGAGTAGGCACAAGCTGAAACTTGGATTCATGAACAAACCAACTCAAAGAAAAAGTGAACTGGGAGGACAATTCAGTGTGAGAGAACCACATGATGATGACAATTGATATCGAGTGTGAAAACATAGAATGCTGAAGCCATGTTGAAAAGGGAGAGCCATAAACTGAGAAATCATTCCACTTTGTGAAAAACTAAGATGAGTGAATTAAAAATGTGCAAACAAGTTTTTGAAATCCCTATTTGTCATCCAAACACCTTGACAAAGAAACTTACATAAATTATTACAGGTTTCACCTAGAAAGAAGAAATATCTAGTTAACAAATGAAAAAGAAAGATCTGATACCATTCTCCAATCCCCTGTTGCATTTGGCACTACAAAGAGGTTCCAAGGACATATGAAGTATAGTACTGATATCTCATCATTGTGGAAAGTGTTTGAAACTGCTGGAACCCAAATCAAATAGAAACTGAAATAAAATCAAAGTGAACACAAGGCAAAGGGTCTATACATGAAAAAAAAAAACTGAGATGACCAGCCCCCCCTAAAAAAAAAAGTGTGGACAGAGGTGACATCCAGAACAGAGTCAATGAGTGAGTTATAAAGATCTGTCTTGCTTACATTGATGGTAGGCCATACTAAACATATGAACAGATATAGTGAGGACTGAAAGACATTACACACAGGCTCTAGAAGTGAATCATGACCAGAAACAAAACAAAATGCTAAACCCTAATAACTACTAGTAAGCTTCTCTTGAAAGGGAAACAAGTTAAAGTAAAATTCTGACAAAGGAAAACAAGAAGCAGTTCTTTTTTTGTAATATATACACATACATAAATACATACTTGATGGTCAGCTGGATAAAATACAAATATCTTGCTATTGGAATAAAAGTCAAAGAAACATAAAGAGTCACAATAATATAAACAATAGCAGCGAGATATATACATAATAAAAGACATCAAAGCAGATATGTGGTACTAATTAAAATAATCAAGAGCACAAGAGTAACTAATATGGTGGAGAAAAATTATGTCTCGGAACAAGACAAATCTCAATATACTGGACGGAGAAATAAATGATTCAATACAGAAAACATTTCACATGACAAGCACCTTCGGTTGTAACAGAAATAGATCCAATATTCAAAACACACAACATACCTGAGAGAAAAAGAAATGAGACCAATAGAAGAGTCATCAAGATTAGGGTAAGCACTATAGCAGATAAATCCAGTTCTGCAAATCTCAATATACTGGACAGAGAAATAAATGATTCAATACAGAAAACATTTCCCATGACAAGCACCTTCGGTTGTAACAGAAATAGATCCAATATTCAAAACACACAACATACCTGAGAGAAAAAGAAATGAGACCAAAAGAAGAGTCATCAGGATTAGGGTAAGCACTATAGCAGATAAATCCAGTTCTGCATACTTTGAAGGTGATTTGGCCTGAGCAAAAAAACCATCTTTCATAAAAAACAAAAGAAAAAGGTAAATGTTACACAAATTAAGCATCCAGAAAATCATTATCCCCATCAGAAATATCATTATATAATGACCCAGCATTTTGAACCATCAGGGCTGACAATGCACTGACACCTGCATGCTGCAGGCAAATGCTTGAGGAAGGCTTCTCACTAAGTTAAAAAAATTCCAGGATGTACAGAAATAACTAAATAAGATAAAATGTTGCATTAAAGTTAACAGCAAGACTACCAACAAGAGAATCTAAATTTTGGCAGGAAGTCATAGCTTATGTAAGGTTCATTGACACTTGTGCAGTGAGTCACATGGAAGATGGGTGAGTAGAGAACTATGGAGTTCAATCTCGCCAAGAAAAGGCCTTCAGTATTTCAGAGATAAGTCCTAGATTTATGTTTACACATGTATGTTTCAAGCAAATCATGCTCTGTTGTAGAAATCTATGTACTAAGGTGAATTTGTAAGTTCACCAACAAAACATTTGTTTATATAAAAATACCTAGCTCGAAAATAAAAATAAATTCTATTTTAATTTTAGTAAGCTTTCCTTTTAAGTTGAAAACATTCACTGATCTTATTATTACCCTGATCATAAACTGTCAAGCATTAACAAAGTATTATTAAAAGATTAATGATTTAGTCACAAATATCCTAAAGATATAGAGATGCGTGAAATATGTTTACGTGAGGTTACAAAAATTTCTGAAAATAGCAAGGATAAAACAGTTAAGCTTTACCGCACCATTGTTGGTGCATGAATCTTATCAGTCACTGTAAACCATATTAATCCTTTTTTGGCTTTGTTACTTAAATATTTATAAATATGGGATCAGCAATATATTGCGAGTATATCTCACTTAAAAAACATATAAACACTAGCTGTTAGCTTCATGTATTGTCATAGATCTAATGTTCATTGAAAATATAACATAAGTATGACTGTATATGATCAAAACTTTACACAATCCTCCCTAATGTCATCTTGTGACCAATGCAATTAACAGCTTTGACAATATTAACTTTAGAGAAGCCTGATATCATGCATAACTGCTTTCAGAAAAAAACATCTGATCAAACAAAATCATGTTTCCCAGGCCTAATATAACATAAAAGTAAAGAATAACATGATAAACATGAAATTGCAAAGCACCAGATTTATAATCACACCCATGAAAGGAAATAAAAGATGAATATCAAATTAACAAATTGTGTTAGAATATGTCTGGCAGTGATATTTCACATAAAACTCAGAAACTGAAATTTTATCCAATGAAGCATTTTATCTAAATTTAAATTCTAAAATTTTTTGTGTTATGAAGAAATATTACTATTTAAAATTTCTATGTTGAATTCATAATTGTCCAATGAAATTAACTTACTAGGAAATAAAGCTCAGTAATTCTTTGGTCTCTTTATGTAATACACATATAGAAATGTTTTACACACAATGGTACAATCAAGAGTGAATTATTTCAAAAATCAGGATTGTATACAAGGATTTAAAATTTAGTGGTAACAAGCTCGTAAAATGCTAGTTGAAATTCTAAACTGTTACTCTTTTGCTAGTTCAAGTTAGAACCAGTAATAAATATTTTCTAACAAAATAATAAACTAGTGCTTCACTAATAAAGTTTACAACCACGTGGATATATCATCATGTCCCTAGGTTTTATTATTAGAAGCATTAGAAATTGTGCACCTCATCATTAGCATGCAAATAAAATATTTGCCTGTTTTACCTTCTAACAAGGCTATCTATCAGTATATAAACCACAAATTAAATTATACTGAATTAAAAAATATATATTTACAGAAATTATCTTTACATTTTTGCATTAACTTGACTAAGAAATGTCTCCTTCTTGTTACTTGTAAGTACTTTTCTGTATAATGATTACTTAATCTAAATAGCTTATACAGATGGAAGAGAACTGGCTCATTATGCCAAGAAACTTATATGACTGTTTAAGACAGTTTTACAGTAGACTAACTGCAATTCAAAAATGACGTTTGTGGTTTTATGACCCAATAAACAGACCTTATTTTGGCTGCCTAGTTTAGTCTATTACTCATGTACTGTATTGTTAAGCCAATTAAATAACTTGAAACAGTGTGAATGTATCTATGATGAATCAAATCAACATAAGTATGATCCATTATTGCTTTAGATTTGGTTCTCTGAAGTAGGAGGAACTTTAGGAAATATTTCTCAAATACAAAAATATCATTTTGAGTGCAACATTGTCAGTGAAACCAGACTCAGCTCCAGCTTTTGTTAACTGGGGAGGCCAATGAGATATATGATGGGACCAAATCTGAAATAAATGTAAAATTAGATGAATGAATGTCATTATCTTGAGGGAGAGGAGGGCTACAGCACCACTACCCTGCTAGCACCAACCACGGTGAAAACATTTTAATGAATTTAATGGAAATATTTTCCTTAAGAGACTATTTTTTCAACAACTTTATTTTAACTTACATTAGACCATATAGTAGGTCTAATAGATTAAGATATTTCCTCAATAATGGTAAAATTTATTGTTATATCATTTTTAACTTGAGATACTGAAGATGATTTTAGACCTAGTAATAATGTACTGCTTTATACGTGATATAATTTAACAAAAAAAAATTAAACCTAGCTGTTACAACTACCACAGTTCATATCACCCTTGTGTAGCTTTGTATGAAATTCTGAAACAAATACTGTACCTTGCATGTAATCAAATATGCTTGTAATAAAGAAATAAAACAGACTTACCTATTTCATTGTTATGAATTGATTTGGATAGTGAGGCTCGAACTGCTACGGGTGCTGCTCCATTTAATGTGCCAAAAGCTGATGCTAGAGAAAACAATATTCTATTTTTTTTAAAAAGGGTGATATTTCAGGTTGGTTTATAAATATTCATATAAAATATGTAGAGAATACAATAATTTGATGTTCTATTTCAGGTTGGTTTATAAATATTCATATAAAATATGTAGAGAATACAATAATTTGATGTTCTATCATACCTTAAATACTTACTATAAAATAGTTTATCACAAATGTTCATAGCTAATTATACTAACTTATGGCATTATTGTTCAAACAAACAATTCCAAAATCTACTAATGTTTAGATGTTTCTACATTTTTATCAATATATTTATATTGAATTCATGCTACATATTTTAAGAACACTATTTTACTATAGTGTTTCCTTATCTTTTCATGCGTGTTGAATAAAGCACAGAACCCCTATGTCTAAAACTTTCTTAAGTAATATAGATATAGAGGCTATTTACATTTGTGCTCATACTAACTCATAAAAAAATTGAAAAAGGAGAAAAGGAAAAAAGTTTATGAAAATGGATTTTAAAAAGTGAGTACTGTGGGTAAATGAAGAAACAAAAGGACATAAATGGTTAGTTGGTTTTTATAATTTTTGAAATAAAAGCAACATTCAATGTAAATCATCAAATGTGAACGTTTTTTTATACTGAAAATGTATTTCTGATAGGTACTTTCCTCTTCTCCCAAAAGCTATCTTGATCCTGGACTGCTCTCTAAACACTGCTAAAACTTTTCACTAAAAGTGCACCAGTCTTTTATACCCCATCAGTTTTGTACCATTTCAGAATGTGCTGATCATGTGACTACCCTCTGCCAATCATATTGCACCATCTATACCAGTGCAGCTAGCTTCCATTACTATTCTAGAGCAATCCTCATTTTCAATAATCGGCAGGTACAAACCAGAAACACTGGTATATCAGTGGAGAGGAAGGGTTGGAAGTGAGTGAATAAAGATAAGTACTTATAGAAAATAAATTTTCTGTGTAAGAAAATGTTAACTTCCAAAATAGTCTTTACCTTCTCTCACCCAAAGCTAGAATCCCACATTGCAAAAGTGGAGGAGCCAGTGAAGGTGCATCAATATCCAATCAAGTGGAAAGCAACCACACTGAAAGAATACGACGAAAAAGTACACCTGTGGTGTATAGCACTACTTCTGGAACAGGTATGCTCTTCTCCCAGTAATTAATACAGGAACCAAAAGAGGGTGGAATTGAGTTGGCACGCACCAATGCATTCAGGAAAGAGACATACAGCACTGAACCAGTAGAAAAGTGCAGTATAACTACAACTTGAAACAGCACAGCATTGACAAACATAGAAAATCTAATGTGGAAGCAGCAATGGGCCTGCATAACTATATGCCAAAGGTAGTACCTTGGGTTACATCAGAGTATGTCAAGTGCAGTCCATTCTGGTAAAACATCCAATAGAAATGCCTTGTATTAGATATTGAAATCAACAGTGAGGTCCTCCCAGACAAATAATCATCCAGGAGAAGCACCTTGGATAAGTAGGATTAAGAAAAACAAAATTAAAGGTACGAGTGTGATCGTAAGGATTTTCATAACCAGCCCGTTGTCAACATATATGTGATTTATCATCCACACATGTGGCAGGCTGTACTACCAAACACAGTGATAATGAGCCATAGTATAGAGCCAGAGAAAAATGAAATAACTATACATAGCTAGGGGTGAAGGACTGTGATATGTAAATAAATAGGCCAAGTATGGTCTGCCCAGGCAAAAAACATCCAGGAGAATGTTGGATTATGCCAAGTGCAGTCCATCCAGGCAAAAAGATCAAGTAGAAGCACCTTCCATAAATTTGTGAGATCAACAAGTGTGGTCCACCTAGGCAAGAAATATGCAGTAGAAGCATTTTGCATAAGATATAAAGAAATTGTTTCGCAAGTTAAAACACATCTATACATTAGAATACCAATCGAGAAATTGGGGACTGCTCTAGAATAGTAGTGGGAGCTAGCTGTGCTAGTATAGAAGGTGTAGTATGATTAATGGAGGGTAGTTACATGATCAACACATTCTGAAATATCAAGAGACTGATTTAGTGAAAAATTTTAGCAGTGCTTAGAGGGTAGTCTAGGATCGAGATAGCTTTGAGTGAGAGGAAAAAACTTTTACTCAGTTATGTTTTCTTTCTTAACCAATGACACAACAGCTGCAGTCTTTCAACACAAAGTTGAAAACTAAAGGGTATGATCTGTTGCTAAACCTGTTGAAATTTGTTTCACTTTCTAGGGGGCAGATTATTTGTAAGGAGCTTCAGAAAAAAAAAAAGAAGCAATGTTCATAAATTGAATACTTAACTTTGTGAGACCAAAAGTGTTCTAGTATAAAATACATTGAGACACTGATCTCCATCATTGAGATTGGGAAATTTTGTAAACGAAACTGTTTTTATTTTAATGAAGCCTTGTGGACCCCTCATTGCCTGGTACAGATCCCAGGTTCAAAAACACTATTCTACTGTCTTTTGTCATCAATATCTATTTTCTTCAAATCCACATGAATGCAATTCTAGTTATCAGCAAATTACAAATATGACAAGAATGACTTGGTAACCAGCTGGGTACTCTTCACTACCCTTTAGTCTAATGAAAGCTTATCTGCTCAGCTTCTAATGATGCGGAAATTCCAAAGGTGCAGAAATGAAAATAAGTACATGAAGAAAATTACTGAAAAGAAAATCTGATTATTCTGTTTGCAACATCCAATAAAACTTCAATATACCTTTTCAAAAATTATTATTTTCAACAATCAGAATGTGAATATATTCATGCAACTGTTAATTGAAATACTAATATACATCCCCAAATGTTCACGTTTGAATGACAGAAGATAAACCTAAGAAATATATTCCAGTACTTAATCATGTTGGTGCACAATTCACATTCCTACAATCATATACTTTCCAATAATCTTATATATTTGTTTTCCATAAATAAAATAAAGAGGGAAAAAGTTGGATAAATATTAATAACTAATTGTGTTTACACACTACACATTTTACTATTGAATTTTTTTTGCCAGATAAATGCATTTTGTTGAACCACTTCACTTATCAAATTTGGTTCATTTTCGTTGAAAAAAACATGGAAGAACACTGATGATGTTTTCAACGATGTCATTAATGTCAAGTTTGATTATATGAGAAATAAAAACTATATAAATACCCTTTTATTACTAGAAAAAAAAACCTTACAACACCAAATTGTGTTATTTTTCTTTAACTGGATACTCATTGTTTCGCTTTACAGCTTCTTCAGGAGCATTTCACCAAAACACAAATCATAACTGACAGCACAAAGCTTCAATTGGTTTAAATAATAAATTCTAATTGAATCTATAATGTGCATTTGTACGGCATGCATTTCACATATTAAGTAGTAAAGCTTATTGCTGAAAGAAAAGTATTGTTAAAATAATTAACTGTTACCTGTAATAAAGTAAAAACTTAAATGTAGAGTTATACAGTTTTAAAATAGTACCACTGAATTGTTAAAAAAAATGGGTTAAAGTTATCATACATAACTCAATAACCTTGTTAAGCTCAACACCACATACTAGCAAGTTACCTCAATAATAAATAAAGAGGCAAAGCAGAAATTTACAAAAATTTGATTTCAGAAAATACACTGCTGTTCTATTCAGTCTTTCATATAAGCCTCTTCATTGCTATGAATATTTGAAATGGAAAGGGATCTTTTATTATCACTATAAAAATATTCTGAACATTATTTCAGTTGAGATCAAAGGTATAAATAAATACATGCATATAAAGACTATTTATCTGTATTTCAAATAAATTAACAAAATTATTGATAATGAAAAAAAAACATGGTAGTAAAGATGGAAGAATGAAGTCAATGCCTCAGAGGAGAAGGTGCATCAGAGAGGAATTTCCTTCTCTTCACTGACATTTTGCTACACAAGAAAACACATACACATAACAAAAACAAACACAACCATATATTTTATGTACACTAATGTATAGATATATTCTATATATTTCAAATAAATAGATAAAACAAGAAAACATCATGTAAATCTATTTGTCCTTTCAACACAAATTGCATTTAAACTTTTTCTTAAAATTGGTTTCCCAGTGGGTCATTGAAAAAACATTTTTTAAAGGTTCCTTTTTTTTCTAAAAATATAGAGCAAATTGTTGTTTAACATTTAATAACTTATATTTGACTAATAATAAATGTTAAGTTCTATACTCACGTGTAAAATTTCCATGAAGAACACCATTACTTTGTGTGTGATGACAGAGATTTTACCATGCAAGTTCTGACAATAAAGTCTGAATTATTCCTTCACATCAAAATTTTGTTGCAACATTTTTGGATAAGAATATAGCTGATTTATCTCCAAATTAACAGGTTTTTAAAGTTTTTTTAAACTTAATTTGAAAACCAAATAAAGAAAATAAACAATAAAACAAATAAAAACATTTGTTTCACTGGGAGACCTACTAAATTGTGTGTCACAGAAACACAAATTAAAAAGATTAAACATTCATTCTACATTTTTTGAATTGTCATGGAATCCTCTGTCACTGCCTCTCTTCTGCTTTCAGCATAACATCTAACTGGTTGAGTTCTATAGTTCAGAATTAAGGATGAATATATTTCATAAGTTACCATTTCAATTGACAGGCTATAGGACTGTTCAAGAGATAAATTTACTTTTTGAATCTTACAATACTTCATGGGTTCTTTAAATTACAATCCAACTCAAAGTAAAGGCTTGAACACTGATCTAACATACATAACTGTTTCTAATGCTAGTAAGATAAATAGCTAATAATAATAATCACAGAACTGACCAGCATAATAAGTCCATTCTTGAAAAGCAAATGCTCTTCCTAAACTTTGACCGATATAAGAAGTTAGTCCAAGTATCCCAAGAACAGCATCTTTTACCACAAAAACTTTTGTTAGAAGTGGGAGTATTCCAGTCATTATAACCACACTAAGAATGGTAAAGATTGTCGACACATTGGAGTACATAGTGACATCCCAGTTATACATCCTTTGAGCATACAGATACCCAATTGTTGAGTTTCCTATGTAAAAAAAAACAGTCATACTACAACAGTTTTCAGGAAAAAATGAAAACACATAAAACCTATCTAAATGATTATAGCTACCTTAATTTTTATAATTTATGTTGCCATCTCAAACTCTCTGTAAAAATAAAACACCTTATATATGCATAGAGTTATCAAACTATTTTTTTACATATTAATAGATGTATAATGAAATGACACACATTAAGCTAAACAACTTCAAAATTTAAGCCAGTGGAATTTGAGGAACATTATAAATTTCTGTTAGTAAGTATGAATTATAATTTAATTTGACTAAAGCTTTCATTATAAGATCATAATCATCTGCAAACAAGATCAAGTATTGTACACAGATAAATTACAAAACATCCTGGGAGGAATCACAATCATCCACCTAAAAATCAATTAGAAACAAATTTACAATAGTTTTGGGGTTTAATCTTTTTTTTTAAACCATACATGGTATACAGACATAAATAAACTATACAGAAAACAATATATTATTTAAATTTCATGTTTATAAGATGTATTACTTGTTTTTGACAGTTTTTTTCATCTCAGGTATTTAGAGGAAATCTGATTGAGGTGTTTAAGATTGTTAATGGAGATAACAGTGTTGATGCATCATCTTATTACATACTTAGTGGTGAGAATGGTAGGACTAGGAGACACAAATAAATTTTTGCAGGTTAGGAATCATCTTCAGCTAAAACAACATTATTTTTCTAACAGGGTAGCTGACCATTGGAATGGATTGCTTTCAGAGGTGGTGGAAGCAGTAAATTTAAGGGAAGGCTTGATAAATATTTGAATGATAATGGCTAGCTTTGAGATTTTTAATTAATAGTTTAGTTTCATGGGTGGGATGGCCTATATGAACCAAAAGGTTCCTTGTTGTCATTTAAATTTCATGTTTATAAGATACATTACTTGTTTTGTATAAATTCTTTCTTAGGCTTCATTTAAAGTATGGCACTCCATTTTGGTATTTTTTTAAAAAAAAACATGCTGATTTTTTGCAGGGTGTTTAGAAGACAGTTACATGACTAATTTCAGATTTAAAAACTGTAAATTATGATATTTGAACTCTTTATCATTGGAACTGTCTATCTATTGTCAACTGCTTATCACCTCCATACCTGAAATTTATTTATTTCTAAACTTTTATCTATTTATCTACACATAATAACCTTTAGAAACATAAGGGTTTTCTTACCAATGTAGGAAACTACAATAAAACACATTGAAATGACTAGTAACAGGATTCGTGCACGTGCATTACCAGGTCGCTTTTTCAGACAAGAGTAAATGCTTTCTTTCCAGTCAGATACATTAAAAATGTCCAAAATCTTCCTTTTAAAGCTTGATTTATTATCTAACAACAAAGAATCTCCTAAGAATAGCCAAATATACAAAATAGCAAGGAGTAAAATGACAGCAGAAGTTCCAAAAACAGCACTATAACCCCAGTACTTGAAGATCTGTCCACCAGTTAAAGTTCCAGTAGGAAGTCCCAAGGCGAAAAACAAATCTGCAACACCATATCTAAATGTTCGAGAGTTTGAAGATGAAACATCAGAAACATAGCTGTAAATACCAGTAATGACACAACTGAATCCACCAAGTATACCTCCACTAAAATAAGCCAGCAAAATATATACAGAGGGAATTTGATAACAACGTACTAGAAATATACACAGAATGTTTTCTATTATCATTCCAAACAATGGTAATATCATGGGAATTTTACGACCATGTCTGTCACTCCAAGGTCCCAACATGATGGTTACAATGGCACTGGGTATGGTTGCTATTGCTATTCCTAGCATTTGATAGTTGTTGGCCATTCTTTGTACAGCAGCTTCATGGATGCTATCATTCCTCAGATTTGCACATGTTGTTACATTCAGGTCTGTACATGTCTTTAACAGTAACAAGTCTTGAAAAGTTACTGATTTAATGCTGACACCAAACATGAAAAGAAAAACAAATGGTTCCACAAAGAATGTTTTCATAATTTTTACCTACTTATAGCCTGCATTGCTAGTAAATGTAGATATGATGAAGACAACTAGAGAAACATCAATTATATCCACGATTTAATTCAGCATTTTTCTATGATTTCACCTCTGATTTAAATAATATTTCTATCTTCCAGTTCAATGATCATAATACAGCTCCATTTCTGAAAATAAAAGAAACATGTTATTAATTTTCATTTTCATCTTTATTTTTTATAAACTTAACATGTTTTTGGATCTATAGGGAGCTTATATTTGTTTATCACAGACAGACAATACATTTAACTGATACACAAATTTTAATCAGAACAAAACTAATAAGTTAATCTACTTTATAAGTTGCAAGTCTACATGTAAGTGAAGAATCTTGCTCATCGTTGGAACTAAATATTATTACAAAGTTCTTTTCACCTGAAATCCCATCACATTCTCAGACTAGATGTTAGAAAATGTTAAAATAACTATAAACACTAGGCTTCAGGTGTCCTTTATATGCTGTTCCAATTAAAGGTTTCAAAGTTTAAATTCTTTAAGGCATGATAAGTTGATCATAGTTTGAGATGCAGTGGTGTTGTTAGCTGGTTGTTTAGCTTTGGTATAAGTTTTAGAAAACCTTGAAACAATTAGATAACTATGTCAACTGCATCTAAATAACATGTGACTGACCCCAAATAATCTTGTCCATGTCAAGAACATATTAACCAAACTTATTATTAAAGCTTGTTCACTTCCTAAATTGTACAATATATGTATCAACAAGATACATAATGCTCACTTGGAAGAGGATGGTGTTGCCCCTGTCCCTTACTAATCTGTTAACATTTTCCAAGGATGTTAATATGTAGTATTTGGATGATGGAAAAGATTTGAACTTGGTGTACTTAGATTTTTAAAAAGCTTTTTATAAGGTCCCACAAAGAAGAATAGCTAAGAAAATCACTTCATTAGTTGTTGGGGATAGACTAAAACTCAAGCGTTTTAGTACAGATGGAGGAAAGAAAGCAAACAGGTGTTATTAATGGGGTCCAGTCATTCTGATCCCCAGTTACTAGTCAAGTGCATCAGGGATCAGTTCTTGGGCATTTCCCCTTTAAGCCTTTTTCGTATTTACCTTAATGGTATTGATGAATGTATAATCAGTAAACTTTGGAAATGACATTAAACTCTTGGGTATTTCTAGCTGTACAGAAGATGTTGAGGTATTAAAGAATGACTCGGATCAATTGATAAGTTGGACAAATATTTGGAGAATGGCCAGTAATAATAGAAAGAACATGATAATGCATTTGGATGATTATAAGTTGGTTGAAACATTTAGTATAGTTAGGGACCCACTCAATAGTCTTATATCAGTGGTGGAAAACGTTTTTGAAAGTTTAATAAAAGTTGCTTTGCAAAGACATTCTACAAAGTTTAAAGTATTGTTAGTCAACATGGTTTCACTAGGGGACAAAATTTACCTTACTAATCTTTTGACATTCTTTGTAGAGGTTACTGCTTATGTAGATGAAGATGAGTGTTGTAGCATTCTCACCATTAAATATGAAAAAAGATGATGTATCAACAATGTCAATTCCCCTAACAATCTTAAATACCCCAATCAGATCTCCTCTAACTCTTTCTTTCAAGAGAAAGCAAGTTCAGATATACCAACAATTCAGTGTCCTTTTTAAAATAATGAACCTTAGATTGAACACAGTACTCCATATGAGGCCTATAAAATGACATTATAACATCTTTAGACTTGTATTCACTATTTTTGTAGAGACAATCTAAAACCCTATTTGTCATGCCACTAGCAACAGCACATTGCTTGGATGGCTTAAGAGAATGACCAACCAGAACACCAAGATCTTTTTTTTTCTTAGCATTGTTAAGGTTATCCCATCAAAATTATTATTCATAATTCAAAAGCCATTTGCCATTTAGTTGCCCAACTCAGAAAATTATCCAAATCATTTTTTTCAAGCAACAGCATCCTCCTCACAAAAAGTAACACCCAAAACTTTAATATCAGCTAATGTAAACATTTACTGACCATTCCTTCAACTATGTTCTTGATGTAAGTAAATAAAAAATAACACAGTTCCCAACACTGAGTTTGAGGTACTCCACTCATGACATTAATCCAGTTTGACTGAAATCCACTTATAACAACCCTCTGCTTTCATCTAACCAGTTTTCTATCCAAAGGGCCAAACTATACCCCATACCCACAGAGATAACTTTTTAAACAAGCATTTCATGTAGCATTTTGTCAAGTGCTTTCTGAAAATACAGATACACAAAATCCATACCATATAAGCAATACCTCTTTAAAGAATGTCAAAAGATTAGGAAGACAAGATCTTCCCCTAATGAAACTATGCTGACTATTCAACTAAATTATAAACTTTGTTGAGTAACTTTATAAAGCATCTTTTATCAAACTTTCAAAAACTTTAACAACCACTGATGTAAGATTAATTAGGCCTAAAGTTATTGGAATAATTTTTATCACTTCCCTTGAAATGAAGAGTGACATTAGCCAATTTTCAATCTTCTGGCACCTGCTCACTGTTTGAGGACTTAGAAAAAATAGTACCAAAAGGTACAAGATTATCTTGGGAATTCATAGGGTAAAGGCTTCTGATTTATCTGTGGTATAATATTTTAAAGACAATACATCATAAGGACACAAGTTTGAGATTTGGAAAAGACTGGATATGTTTTGTTTTTCTAACAGTTTGACTGGCTTATAGAATGAGTTACCATTAGCAATAGAGGATACCATCATTTTACAAGAGTTTAAAAAAGAAACTGATAATTTCCTGAAAATAAATGGTGGGTTTAAGATTTTACTTTTCTCAAGAGTGGTTGTGTGAGAGATCATTGAAAAAGCAAACAGTTGTCCATATATTATTTTAAACAGCAATATCTGTACTCTTTCTAGCATGTTGATATTCTTCTTATGGTAATGGATTAAAAACCGCACAGTGAACCTATGAGGCCATATTAACATCTTGCCCCAAACTATGGTAATTTTCTCATTCTTAGATTCAAAATTCCTGTAAAAACAAAATCAAGAATTATTTTTGCTCTTTCCACAACATCTAAACATTCAGCAGATAGCTTTAAGGTTTTATTAGTAATCTCAACTGAACCTTTATCCACAAAATCAATTTTCCTTTCTCACCCCTTAGAGCACATTATACTTAAATGTATCAGAATAGAAACCCAATAACTCTGATACTAATTTATTTTTCTGTTTATCTTTCAGGTGTTTGAATATTATGAGAGATACTTAAATGTATGAGTATTGCATGAAAACTCATCTTCCATATTCTGGACAAGTAACTAAGACTAAAGATACTTGTAAATATGGCATGGACTCAAAATATTAATATAACTGACAACAAAGGTTTCATAACAGATCCCCAAGATACCTACTAGTTACATTCTTCTACTCAGAAAAATGACCGATTACAACCAGTCTTTTCTTTCTGTTACTAAGACAAGATTTTATGCACTTCAAATTTCTTATCAGTTTTGTCAACTCACTACTCAATCTACTGTGAAGCACCTTATCAAAGGGCTTTCTGATAGTCAAGACATTCATTGTAAAACACCAAAAAAAAAGGCAAGAACCCTATAAAGCAAACTCCAGCAAATAGGTAAGTAAAAAAAATCCTTTCCTAAAACCATCTTAATCATAATTAAATAAATGCAAAATCAGATAAATTAGTATGGATAACAGATTTGTAACACCTTTTTAACAATAAATGTCACACAACGAAGTCTAAACACAATATCTCTGGATTCTCCCTTGGTCCTTTCTATTTTTCATTTAAAGCAATATATTGGCAATATTCCATCATCAAGAATTTCTAGAGTATTAGGAAATTACTCAATAACAATTAAAGCCTCCAGTAACTCTTGAAAAGCTTCTTCATGGATTTGAGATGCATCTCATATAGGCCACCAGTTTCATCTTTTAACTTTTCTAAAACAATTTTTTCAGTATTAATACAATTTAGGAAAACTTCTTCCAGCTTTACATATTCATTAATGCAGCAACTTAGCTATGCTTCCTTCCATATTCAAGATTCATGAGAGTAATGGTATTCATTAGCCCGTTTTTACAATAACATAAGAATAAGAAAGCAAACAACAAATTAAGTTTGATAATTGTTAAAATTCTGTTCTAAAGCCTTCTGATGATAGTTTATCATATGTTACTCAGTGTCTAATCTGAAGCATGTTGCACAACATTAATGTAAGCCAAGGATCTCCAATAAGAATCAAAATATTGCTTTTCACTTATTTTTGATCATTAAAATGGATAACCTTGTTTAAGAATACATAACTGAGCCTTCTATGTGGTTTCAAGAAGTAGAAAAGTTAATAGAAAATATTCATAGTGTATCAGAAGATGTTATGTGAAATATGACATACAGTATGTGAGTTATGTGAGTAACACACTAAGTATATATATGTATATATACACATACATGTTCACATTGACAATTGTATGACAGAGAGTCAAGCCACTCACTTGGATCAACTCAAGTGGTGGAAGTTGGATGGGACGAGTTAATATAATGAGAGCATCAACCTCAAAGAATAAGTGCAAGCCTAGGGTCTTGGGTTCCAAGTCTCAGTTACGAGAGCCTGCTTGTCATCTATTTTAGATAAATAACATTAACATATAGACAACAAAAGATCACTTTGTAATTCAAGATCATCCATGCACATCCACTCTCAACAAAAATTTAAACCCACCCTTCATATTTCAGAAAATCATCAGTTCTCCTATTAAAGTCCTTTAAAGTGCTGGCTTCCAATACTGCTGTTTGCAAATTATCTGATTAATCAACCATTCTGTCAGACAAATAAAAATGGAGTCTAGGGTTCTTTTCCAAACCTTAAACTTGTGTCCTCTTGTCTATTATTTTCAGAATATAGCACAGAGAAATCTCAAGCCTTTGTCCTACTGATCCTCTGAATAATTTTAAAAACTTTAATAATATCTACTACAATGCCATAAATCAACTCATAATATTCCACATTTGAATGATATATAATCTCTTTTAGGATCCAATCAAGAGCAAAACTATAGAAGTATCTTAATATATGGATATGAATTTGTGATACAAGGGCCATCATACAGCAGAAATTAACATATTAAAGAACATTTTCAAAAGTTACAATCACCTTTAGTATGTGACACCAAAAAATACAATCAGAAACACTTCATGAGAATAACATTAATAAAGCAGCACAGGCAGTTTCAATAAAATTCATATACTTTCTTAAAAACCTATATGAAAACTTCAGTGCATTTCATAGAAGTATGACATACGATGTGTTTACCAAAACAAATAAACATTGTCGTATTTAATAACCAAAGAGAAACAAGTTATGTAAGCCACATATCGGAAAAGTGTTACATACAAAATTACATGTGTGTATGTTTCTATACACACACACACACACACATACTTACATACATATATTTATAAATACACATATAATTAAGGACAGTAAGAAACTTACTGGTCCATACAGTCTGTCCCATCCACTTAACTAAATTTAAGATGAAAATAAAACACTCAAAGCCAGCCCTTATCATTCAAATATTTATCATGTTTTCCCTTAAATTAAATGCATCCACCACCTTTGAAGGAAACCCATTCCAAAAGTCAACCATCTTGTTAGATAAGTATAACTGTAAACTAAAGATGACTCCTACCATGACAAAACTTCTGAATGTCCCCTACTCCTACCTTTTTCACAAATAAGTATAAAACAAATATTGTCAATTCCCTTATCAATCTCGAACAACTCAGCCAGATCTTCTTCAACTTATATTTTTTTCCAGAGGTCTCAACTTGATTCTGTACAACAACATTTACATACCAGGTATCATGCTAATAACCCTATTGTGTTTGATATTTTTGTGAATACAACTTACAACCCAAAACTGTATTTTCCTTACCAGTAACACAACAACTGCTTGGAAGACTAAAGTTAAAAAAGACTGATCAACTGAAACATCATGGTCTTCCATAACACCATTATTGTTAAAATTATTCCCACTAAACTTATTATAATTTAAATTATGATAACCCAGATGTATTATTTTGTTTGAAGTTAAGCACAAAACTACACAATCGGCTATCTGTGCGCTGCCCATCACTTGTATCAAAACCGATTTCTAGGGTTGCAAGTTCGCACACATGCCGCTGTGCCACGGAGGGGGGGGGGGGCTGTATTACTTTTAATTTATTACAATTAAAACCAATAAAAACCATTTGCTCAACTCACTACATGCTTTAAATCTTTTTGGAAATTAATGATCCAAATTTAAAATAAAAGTCCCCCATAATTAAAACCTCATTAACTTCCGCAATCTCCGTCTCTGAACAAACCTTCTCATTATTTTTTAAACTACATACCGATACTTTCGTTACTGAAAGATTGTAAATTACTTCACTGTATTCAGTTTAGGCCTATAATTTAACATTATGGTTTGTATTGTATTCACTAATAGCAATACTGAAACTTCATACCAATTACTTTTAGAAATTATAATGATTCATATCTCAAGATAAAAACACAAAACTTTTAAAAACTGAAAATTACTAATAATTATATTTACAAGCTTTCAATATCATTATATTTTACATATTTTAATATCAATATTATTCAGATTCAGTCTTACGTCAAAAAATACTAACTTCATACTTTCAGATATGTTAGTTGTTACATATTATTTGCTTATAATTAAACAGCTGAATATCTAAATTCCATTTCTGCAAATCCTGTTCCGTATATCGCATCCCACAAGAGATACCACAAATAAGATACTGGCTTAACGTTCAAGGCTAATACACTAAGGAAATCAAGGACCAGCGGAATATGCATTACATTGGTCCACGAAGGTAAAAGTAGATTGGGTAGGGCATGGCGTGATGTTGTTAAAGCCTACGTAAACTTTCAGATGCAAGTTGGGTAACTCTGAATCATGAATGATCACTCGTAAAACAGCTGTCAGTTCGTATTTCGAAAAGTTTGAGTTGGTAGCTTTATCTGTGTATTGTTAAAAATGTGTCGCATATAAAATACAGAACTTGCGACTTCATAAAATTCTTGCTTGTATGCTGTAAGGGTGTTATGAACTCGAAATAAAGAAATTTGCTTTCAAAATAGTGAAGTACGTTTTATTTAAAATTATAACGTTAACTTAACTACTAACGCTCTATACCATTTATTTTATACTTATAACACTGTGCATAAATAAAATATACAACTTTAAAGTTTATTATTTAGATACCTAAATTAATGCTTATAATTTTTTTTTTAATTTGCAGCTATTTTAAGTGTAAAATATTCAACATCAAAGTTCGAGCAAAGTGTAAAGTGTTCTGACGTTGGACGGGTTTCTGTGCATTCATTACTCTGTGAAAATATAGCAAGATTCATTCCACATGACAGTGACGATTTAGTGTATTTCTTTTATAACGTTTCTACAGGCTACGTTCACGTTGTAAAACTTGTAGGTCAAAGTTTGTGTGATAGCGAAAACTATTTTTTTTTTTTTGTGGTTTTACTTACCGTTCATTTATTATTTTTTCTGTCATTTAGCTAAATTATGAATTTTTAATTACATCAGCTGACTCTATTTAGAGCACGTTGATTTTGAGTGTATACAATGGTTTGAGACGGCTTGAATGGGTAATGAATAAAAACTTTAATATAAGTTTAACATAACAGCAAATGTACAAGGTTTTGAGTGTACATGTGTTATGTACCTGACACAAGCTTCCCCTAGCGGTGACTTATAGATATTAATGCTGTGAAATATTACGTAGATTTCTGGTGGTTTACGATTGGGTGCGGTCGACTCAGAACGGGACACCAAGCATATATGCCGGGAATGTGGTCGAGGCTTCCTGGCTCGGATAGGACTCCTGAGCCATCTCCGTATCCACAGGTAGACCAAATGATGTCGTGGTCTTCTTCGAAGGACGAACAGCAACAGATTTCTGGTGATAGCTAGTCACATGGGATGTGACGTCATGGTCTAACTACTAAATAAAAAGCCTTCTTTGATGTTAAAATTAGTTAGATTATGAGATATAGTCAGAAAGAATTAGTTCTAATTATGGCTAGATATTGTTTTTGATATTGAAATGTGCTTGAATTTTGAAAAATTGTGTTATTCTTCGGTGAATTGTATTTTTTTATTATTATTGTGGTAGTTTTTCTTAACTCCTTTGATATTTATTGAAATTAATTACGTTGATATTTATGTTGTATTATTTATTAACGTTTGTACCTAGTCCCAGCCAGGCACTGGTTTACTAACAGTTTTATTTATAAGTGATTAAAATTTGTATTATACTTGTATGAAAGTTTGCCTTTGAATTTCTGTTGTTATTTCTATTAAACTGAATTTCTTTGACCCCGGTTGTGGCGGAGTTTTCTTTAGACTGTTGTAAGTTCACATATAACTTTTTAATTTAAACTCCGCATCTAAATTTACTTTTGTACGTCTAACTCCAAATAGAACGTTTCAATATAAACTGTAAGACATATGCCTAACTTAGTTAACTTTGATGTATAAAATCACGAAAGTTTCCGAGTAACAGAATAGATACTATAACTCTCACTAAATAACTGAGACATTCAACTCACTATCAGATTACTCACTGAATTCTCACCCACGCTCCAGTCATTTCTCAATAATTAAGGAATCTGATTTTTGAGCAACATTTTTTCCTAAATTTGAATCAATAATTATTAATAATCAGGTAAAAAATTCTAGTACGAAAAATGGGGTGAAATATTTTATGTATAATCAAAAAAGAATAAATATGAGGTTGAAATCAGGCTTCATTAAAAAAAATGGTTAAACACAAACATGGGGTAGCTGACTACTGTTTTAGTCTAAAAAAATGAACACAAAAAGTATAATGGGCTGGTTTTATGAACAGTTTGCAATGTATTTAGTTTAAAAATACATTCTTAAACACCAATCAAGAATTTCAGATGGCTACTCTCCCAGTCAGAAAAAAAGTTACAAGTAGGCTACAAAAAATACACTGATCTTTTTTGTCACCAGTTTGAATGTAATGGTCTTTAAAAAAATTCTCAAATGTCAAACTCCAACCAAGTATTTTCAGATAAGCACTCTCTAAGTGGTTTAGTTAACTGCAATTGATTAAAAGCTTTCAGACAAAAAAAAATCTGGTTGTTGTTACCAGTTTGTGTTGTCTTTGTATTGGTTAATAAAGAAGCATAAAAGAACAGTTTACTACATTTATTTGGTTACAGAAGTCTATTAACATATTGTTACATATCTGCTTGTTTGTTAATTTCCGGTATAAATTCTTTCCGAGGAACATCAGCGATACAAGTCCTTTCTTAATTAAACCAGTTTATTTTATCCTCGATACAACTTTGTTTTTTCGGAAGGATTTTTTACGGGAAATTAACAAACGACCAGAGACGTAACAATATATATGTATAAACTTATGAAATTTAAGTCATTTAGACTAAATATTTGTGGTTTCTTTTTATAATTTGTAGACATTCTAGAAAGAAAAAAGTGTAACTTATATCTATTTCTGTATTTTTTATGGTGGTTAGAGGTTGGTCAAATCAATCAAACCAAAATATAAATACAGCAGTGAAAATATCAGATGAAATATAAAGTTTTAAAACTAAAAGTTATAAAGATTTCGCATATGAAGTCTGACAATTTTGTGATCCTTAAAAGTATTTTTAATAATAAAATCAAAATTACTCTGCATGTTGGATAGTCAACATTCGAAAATAAAAAATGCATGTTACATTAAAAAATCTTAAAACTTAATATAAAAACCCGATATTAGACGTATGAAAGCCTTGCAATGTTTGCTGGTAATATGCAAAATTTCGTGAAGGTACGTTTACTGTATTAAAAATTATAACATGAGAACTATAACAAGCACAAAAGAGATATGAGGTCAGTCCCTGGTCCAAAACCATAGTGAGAGAGTTAAAGGTTATTGATTTTAATGTTAAATTCAATCATTGGTTTGAGGACAAGTCTGAAATAGACAAGAGAGAAAAATGGGACATGCAGGGCAGAGATTACAGGTATATCAAATGTTTTCTATCTGCTTTAGTGATGTAGACATTTTTAAACATTTTCAAGTACTTTTTCTTCGACAATGGCAGCAATATCTAGGTCAACCCATCTACTGAAAAAAGAACAACAACAAAAAACAACTCAAATTTGGTTATTATAATTAAAATATTTATCAAGCATTCATGTACATTTACTGCATTCACTATTCTTTTGTCATTCCCCAAGGGCCCTACTTAAATCTTAAAATTTTGCTTGCCCTTAATTTCGATGAGGTAGAACCCACTTTGAGACTAATAATGGAGACGTCTTGAATGGGTACATCAGATAACAAAACCTTGAACATTTGCTGTTATGTTAAATTTATATTAAAGTTTTTCTTCATTACCCATTCAAGCCGTCTCCAAGCATTATTACCCTTAATTTATTTAATGAAACATTTACTATAAATTTTTACCTTTTCAGCTGACCTATTAATATGACCTTTTTTGATTTCCTAATGTTTCATTTTACAACTCTTGATATTCTACAATCGTCTGTCTCCCTTCATAACAGTCAGTTATCGCTACTACGTGTTTCATTATTAATTGATCATGTGCAGCATTCCCATAAAAACAGCTGTGAAAAGTAGGAACTCAAGCAGGGGCGGATTG